TTAAATTTTAAATAACTTTTTAATCTTTTTTCAAAACAAAAAATTATTAATAATTAACCCTTCCTAGGGATGTTAGAGGTAACTTATCTTATTAAAACCTCCTATCGGCTATAAAAACTCAGTTAAGTTTCATAGCTATCAATGTGTACATTATTTTTATTGTAGTACATTGGTATGTTAGTTAATTAATTATTTTAATAACTATACTTACTACTTACACAATATCAATAAGAATCAATTTATACGATTTAAAAGAGTACTAATTTCAAAATAAAGAGTAAATCAATTATCTAATTGTTGTTATTTCATGTTTGAATTAATTTGACATTTATCATTGTTCTTAAAATAAAATCATAGATTTAAATTCAAAACTTATTTTTTAGTATGTTAAATATTTTTAGAATTTCACTATATTACCAAAACCATATTAAATTTTATTTTGATAAATTAAACCATAAAAATTCAAATCACAGTTATTGCTTTTAAAATGGTACAATTTTCAATTTTTTAATGCTGTACAATATACAAAAAAATAAGCTTAATATTTAATCAGTCAATAGTAGATATAATATTATTTAAATTTCAATATTATTTTGTATTAAAATAAAAAAATAACAAGGTAAAATTAAAAATTACACTTTTAAAGAGAATTTTATCAACTATACAGAAATATTTACAAAATTAGTTATTAATAAAGTAAAAAATTTAATTTTAAATGGCTTATAATACATTGTGTTACTAATATTTTTACATTAAAATTTTCTAGATCTTCCCTACAATGATTACATTACATAAATATTTTTGGATCAATCGTAATCTTAATTTAATTGAATAATCCATAAAGTTATTATATTAGTATAGAGAAATGTTTTGCAATATTTTAGTATTTTAATTATTTAGTAATAACACCGGCACACACAAAAAAAAAGTTGTCTGTACTTTTGACTGGACCCACTTACAGACATGTATTTTGACCCGCTGAATCCAAATTTAAAGTCCGTTTGGCCCGGTCACCCTTCAGATTTGAATAAAATGCAAAAAACTGCAATCAAAGCGATGAAAAAAATGTTGTGGACTCTGATCAAGTATGATTTTTATGTATTTCAATTTACTGAAACTGAATCTGAACATTAATTAGTCCGTTGAATCGTCAACATTTGAAAAATAACAAAAAAACCCAAAAATTGCAATAAATCTTGAAAAATCGAAATTATCGAGATGAAAACAATTTTTTAGATTCAAATTGAGTATGATTTTTATGTATTTTATTCCACTGAATTTTAATCTGAAGTTTTCTTGTCCCATTAACGTTTTAAAATTAAAAAAAATCTAAAAATACCAAAAAAATCAGGAAAATTGTAGTTATAAATATGAAAAAAAATTTATAGAACACGATTAAATACTTTTCTTGTATTTTTTCACGCATAAAATAGGAGTTTAGAATATGAAAATATAATTGCTAATTACTTTATGATATAAGTAAAACTAAAAAATAAATTTTTTTTTGATTTTGACTTACTAAAAATAAGGTTTTAGTATATGATATCATATGATACCATCGTGCAATATTTGAAAAAAAAAAATATTAATATTATTTAATTTTATCAAACATATTTTATTCTATATTAAAAAAAAATTCTTATTCAATATTGATCTTTTAAAATTTGTTTTATTATATATATTTTATGAACTTAATTTTATGATTTATAATTTATGAAGTTTTTCTAAAAGTTGATGTTTGTTATTTTTTTTTTTTTAATATCATAAGGTAATTAGTAATCTGATTTGCAATTTAAATATTTTATTTTTAAGAAAAAAAAATCTCGTGCATGAAGAGGTTAAAATTCGAGAAAATCGTTCTCTTCATTCTAGTCATTTTTTTTTTAANTCGAGAAAATCGTTCTCTTCATTCTAGTCATTTTTTTTTTAATAAATATTACAATTTTTTATATTTTCATATTCTAAACTCCTATTTTATGCGTGAAAAAATACAAGAAAAGTATTTAATCGTGTTTTATAAATTTTTTTTCATATTCATAACTACAATTTTCCTGATTTTTTTGAAATTTTTTTTTATTTTAAAATGTTAATGGGACAAGAAAACTTCAGATTCAAATTCAGTGGAATAAAATACATAAAAATCATACTCAATCTGAATCCAAAAAATTGTTTTCATCTCGATAATTTCGATTTTTCAAGATTTATTGCAATTTTTGGGTTTTTTTGTTATTTTTCAAATGTTGACGATTCAACGGACTAATTAATGTTCAGATTCAGTTTCAGTAAATTGAAATACATAAAAATCATACTTGATCAGAGTCCACAACATTTTTTTCATCGCTTTGATTGCAGTTTTTTGCAATTTTTTGCCTATTTTTTTGATTTTTTGCATTTTATTCAAATCTGAAGGGTGACCGGGCCAAACAGACTTCAAATTTGGATTCAGCGGGTCAAAATATATGTCTGTAGGTGGGTCCGGTCAAATGTACAGACAACTTTTTTTTTTTTGTGTGTCGGTGTAATTACTAATTTTTATTATATCTTGTCTATATTCTGATAAATACATTATTATTAGAACAAAAAATTTATAATTAATATGAACATACTATACTTACATTTAAAATGAATAAATTTGTGTACATAGAAATAATTAACAAAAAATCAAATACTATATTTTTTGTGGGCCTCAACAAAATGACACTTTTGTTCGTTTGTCTATTAAGGTCAGAGTTGGGTCAGTATAATACACAAAAGTACAAGTATTATATGTACATATTACACATCTACTTTTTTACAAACAATACTTATATCATGACAAATGATTCATAATTAAAAATAGATTTTTTTTTAATATTAAAATATTGTATTTATTTAATTAATTTTTTCTTCACTTTATAAATATAAAAATATAATCGGTGAAATCCCAAAAAATTTCCACAAGAATGACTAACACATAATTTATTATACAAAATATAAAAACATGAAAAAGTTAATATTTTGTTAATTTTATGAGATCATCAACTGATGTTTATTAAATAAAAGGTTTAAAATCAGTGTGATCTATTAAAGAATAAAATTTTTTTAAAGTATTATACATTTTATACATCTACATGTATACATGTTCTGTAAGTAAGGAAACAGGTTTCTATAGTTCTTATGTTTATAACAATTGACCTGTTTCCTTACTTACTGAACACCAGTACGTGTGTATTATGCATTGTATAAATAAAATCAAATATACATTTTATTACCCAACCCTGATTAAGGCTCAAAATTGCATGAATTTGTATGTTATACAAAATGCTGGTTGTTTTTGAAACCAGCTCTTCAATTGAATCAGTCATTTCAAAAACTACATTTGTTACTGATTTTTCAGTAATGACTTTGTCAAATTTGATAATTATACATTATTATGTATACTTATGTATTTTGGGTAAAAATTTCATTTTTCAGATTCATATTTACTACAAAAGTCAATGACTTCATTCAAAAATGTTTCTATATTATAACATTTTGTCAAGTTAAGTTTTTTTTAAATGTTTTATTAAAAGTTCNCAAAAGTCAATGACTTCATTCAAAAATGTTTCTATATTATAACATTTTGTCAAGTTAAGTTTTTGTTATTAAAGAGAAATATATATACTTTTTTTTAAATGTTTTATTAAAAGTGCAATGGTTTATTAAGCAAAAACAACAAAATTTTTATTTTGAAAAAAGTTGTTACCTATAACCAAGTTAAGATAAGTTAAATTTTTAGGAAAAAAAAATATATTATTTTATTTTATTTCTTGATTTAGATTTCATATTATAAATTTCTATTCACTGCAAAAACAATGCACATCAAAAATATTTTATTTCAATTTAATGAATTTGGTCAAAGTTAGACTATTTAAAACTATGAATTATGAATATCAGAAACCTTAAAAATAAATTAGTAAATAGGTGTAAGTGCAAAACAAGTTAGAGTTCTAGAGTTATTAAGTTTTTTTTGATACATGGAAATTTAAATTTTATTACTTATGTTGTTTTTGATATGACCGTTTCAATTATTTTTTATCATTATTTTGTAGAAAACTTTTTTTCTTTTGCTCAACTTAGAATTTTTTTCACTTTGGAATTGTGAAACACCTGTATGAGAGTTATACTTTATACTTTATTCCATGACAGAATATGCGTAATACATGAATTCATGTAGAATATGCGTAATGCCATAGAAAATTAAGTATTAAGATAACCCTCCTACAGACATTTCAACAATTCCTAATGAAAAAAAACCAGTTTCACAAAAAAAAACCTTGTTTCCTCATAAAATGCATTGCAATCATGCCTCCACTAGTATAGGTCTTGGGGTTAGGTCTAGTATGGAGTTTTTGTTCTGAATAACTATTATTACTCCCTTTAAAAAAAAAATAATAATATCTTCATCATGTAATAATTTTTATCGGAAGAAATTTATCCCACCTAAACTACTTTCTTTCAAGCACAAGAAAAACTGTAAAACCTAGCACTGACACAATGAAAAGTGAATAAGTAAAAATTTATTTATTATCTATTTATTTTAATTTATAAATGTTAGAATCCTCTAATATTAAATAACTGTCAATTATAACAATTAAATATTGCAAAGTGTATGAACCTTATATCATCCTATGCCCTTTTCTTGGCACGGCACTGATGCCAATTTTAAAATACAGTGGAACCTGGATAAGTTAAAGCTCAAGAGAAATTATTTTTTTAACTTAATAAGGTTTTTGAACTATTAAAAGGAAAAATTTGACTTAAAATTATTTAAGAATTTGAGTTTGTATTCAACACTTATTTATAAAAATATAACAGATTGATTCCAATTGGTAATACTTGAATGTAACATATAAAATAACAATTACTTATACCTTAAATTTTAAGATATTTTCTTACTACTCCCTCTAATATTACATCATAAAAAGAGTACTATAATAACTACATATATTATTTTATTACATTGCCCTATTTTAATTAAAAAAATTAACAATTACTATTAGATTTATTTATTTTTTGCAATCTATTATTGAAAAATTATAGCATTTTGCCAATCTCACAATCATTTTTTTTTTTTAATTTTATGAAATTACATAATATAAAACAATTTGTTTATTGATAGTTTATAACTATATTAATAATTTATTATAAAACTTTAAATAATTTCTTTGTATTATCTATACTTTTTTTTTTGAGTAAATAAGATTCGAGGGAACAGAATGTATTATGCCTCATTAAGGTTCTACTGTAGTAATAAATAAACAATTCTCAGTTGTAAGCAAAAAATAATGAAATTATTTGTTGACTGATAGCTCAAATCTTTAAACAAGCCATTGATGTAACTGTGTAGAAATAATATGTATAAAAATAATAATTTTACTATAGTTGTTTTAAGTATTTGCACATTGTTTTTAAAACAACAATTACACCTACCTAAAAATTTTAAGCAAATTTTTTTCTTACTACTCCTTCTAATTGAATTTAATCGGATAATTAATCTAATAACTACATGTATTACTCTAATACATTACCTTACTTTAAGTTCAAAATTTAACAATTATCAATAGATTTAATTTTTTAAAGTAAAAGTATTACTATAAGAATAATTAACATACAAGAGATTTAACTACAATACTGTCCTTTCAATATAACAATTCATTCTAATATTGATCTCACAATATTCTTATACTTGATAGAAGAAATTAAAGCTTACTAATGTTATATGCTTAGAATCATGTATACAAAACCAATAGACATCATATTTGTAACTGAAATTAAATTAAAAACAAATTAAATTAACTTACATGGGATAAAAATGGTAATACTAAAAAGCAAAATTTATTTTATTAAACTCACTCAAGTTTTTTTGAGAACTGTGCATTTATTTGATATGTGACTCTTTTTCATGATATAATCATGGCAATAGCAAAATCATGATTAAATAATTTTTGTTTTTTAATATGATTAAGATATTAATTTTATGATATCAAAGTATCTTAATTACAAGTGCATACTTAAAAGTACAGATACTTACAACAGCAGGTATTAAAACTAAAAATTAAATTAAAAACAACAAATTTTTAATTAGATTATTATGTATGAAGAAGTAACTAAAAACTTAATTTACAATAGAAAAAATAATGTTAAAAGAATTTATGGATGACGACTTACGTAACAAGTCATAATAATTATAATTTGTGCAAATTTTCACATATTATTACAGAGTAAAATTAAAATTATGTTTATTCCAATCTACGCATGCTTAATCAAATATTTATAAACTTATCAAAATAGTTGCATAATATTTTCTTAACATCTACAGTGAAATATATTAATTATAATAATAAAAAGAATGAAGAGATGAAGGAAATAAAATAATTAGCTATATGTGTGATATTTATATTTTTTATAATTAAGAAAGAGGATTAATAATAGAATATATATGTTATATTACTTAATACTGATAAGTGATAACCAACTTTTTTTTTTAATTACTTTTTAAATTGTTGTGAAGATACAACGATATTAAGATCTATTTTAATATTTCATGATCTTTATTTCTTATATTTTTATATTTTAAAGATTATAGTAAAATTAACAATTTTTGAACTTAAAAACTAAATTTATAATATAAGATCTAGGCGTCTCTTCTTTTTACTTAGATTATCAATTACTTCACTGGTATCAATGCCAACTTCTATGTTAATGGCTAGCATAGCCAAACCATTAAACCGCCCCTGTATTAAAAAAAAAAAAACTTAAAACATCATAATTATAAAATAATAAATTAACCAATATTAATTTACTTGTGACATCGTGTTTCGCAAGTATGTCTTTATTCTTTTCAAATTAGAAAACGACCTCTCATTAGATGCAGTTGATACTGGTAAAGTTGCAAAAATCTGTAAGAGTTTAAATACATTTGGATAAATTTGGCTATTGCATAAAACTATTGCTTTCATGGCATTTCTTGGTGTATTTGATGATTTAATACTTTCTAAACGTGTTTTCCATAATTTGAACTCTGCCAGTAACAAAGATTTTTCGCATTCATTTAAGTCAAACATATACATTTGCGCCAAACGTAAGAAGTGAGCTTCATTTTCGTCTGTTGAAATTAATATTTGAAGTCCAATAACAACATTTTTTGATTAACAAACCTTAAATTTAGTTGATCTATAAATGTATCTAAGAAAGGAATAAAAAAAGCAACTCGAAAATATGACTCTTGTGAATTTGTCTCAAAATTTAGTCTTTTCGTTTGTCTTCCTATAATACGTGGTATGAAAATATTTGTATCTATTNCTATAATACGTGGTATGGAAATATTTGTATCTAGTTTATTTGATAAAGTCAATGCATTTTCAAAAATTTTATGAAATTCAGACTCAGCATTCGATCTTAAAGTTTGAAGTTCTTTTATTGTATCTTCCGCAAGATCCATAGCTTCACCTAGTTCAATATTTATTCTTTGAAGTTGTTTTGAAAGAGGCAACACAAAACTAAATACTTTATTCACAATAAGTAAACAAATAATAAAATCTCCTTTCAGTATTGATGTTCGTAGATTGCTTGCTTGTGATGATGTTTCAGTAACACTCCACTTCGAAATTATAAATAACGATTCAATTACGTACTCAAAAATCTCAAGAAAATCATTGACAGCATGAAAACGTTCAACCCATCTAGTCGCACATACTCGTTTTAATGTTTTTTGTTGTAATACATTCTTGGCTTTCTTCGATTTGACTTTTCAACACATCTTTTCGCTTCGGGTATATAAAGAAATCTCTAACTTTAGATATTGTTCCTAAACAATTTCGTATTTTTTGTATAGAACATGAATAAGAAATAGCAAGGTTTAAAACATGAGCAGCACAATGAACATACGTCGCAAGCGGGTGACTTTGGTGAATAATAGCTTGAGCTCCGTTAAATTGACCAGACATAGAAGCACATCCATCGTAACCCTGTCCTCTAAGGTATTTTGTATCTACACCAAATGAATGTAAACTTTGTATAATAATATCGGCTAAACCTTTTCCAGTAGTATCTGTCGTAGACACAAACTGAAGAAATTCTTCCTTGATAATCATATTTTCAACATCTAAATATCGTGGACACAAAGATACTTTTTCGATTTTTTCTAATTAGTTCAGCTCTTCCAGTTTCTATTTTACACGTTATAGATTTCTCAGAATGTTTTACAACATCCATGAAATTATCTGAACTTAACACACACGTTTTATGGTAACCCTTGTTAGGATGTTCTTTGAAATCAACAATAGCATTTCTCCAATTATCATATTTTTTTTTTACTAATGCACCTAAGATTTGTCCGTTATTTTCATTCGATTTGGAAAAAGCTACACAGATTCAACAAAATGCACCATTTTCTTTTATCAAGTATACCAACCAAGGGAATCTTAATAGCCATGAATACTGGAACTTTAAGTATTTTGGTTTATTTTGAACTGTATATAGTTTTTGTGGGAATTTGAATGATATATTTGGCATCCAAATTTTCGTCATAGCAATTAAGATATCTTCGTTCGATAACTTACGGTTAATATAAAATTCAATATCATAATTATTACTATAGTTTGTGTCCTCAGTAAAAAAAATATTATTTGAGTCTTTTGTATCTAAACTTAAAGTGCGACAAATTTTAGCAGAGTCAATCGAGTTAACTGGCGAAGATGCTCGTTTATTCGTAAGAGTATTGTTGTTATGAGTTCAATTAAATTCTGAGGTAGTGTAGTCATCCGACGATGACAACAGTATATGCATATTCGTTTTGCACCTGGGACCGGTTGTAGTGATCAGCTGGGGAATCCTTATCATAGTCACCGTTGATTATGTTTGATAATCAATGCACAATGGATAATTTTAATGATGACAAAAAAAATTATTTTATAATAAGGACGATTAAATAATAATTTGCAAATTTTCAAAAAATGATTGTAATCCTCAATCGAATTAATACCTCACAGAAATAAACATTCACTACCAAACGTACAACAACAAACTAAATATATATGTGTTTATAATGTCTAATATTTTAATATACTGTCTTATAATTATAAGTGATTGATTGGATGAACAAACCTTGTAGTCCAGTGTATAAAACGTACAACTTTGTTATAAATAACAAACATTTTATATTGAAAAGTATTGCATCAAGCCCTTTAAATTTCTATACGCGTTACAAGTAAAGAAATATACAACTACTTTATTATTTTTATAATATCTCCGTAAAAATTACAATATTAAATTATTGAATATCAAATTCATACTAAATTTAAATATTATAATTATTATTTATTCATATATTATAATGATAAATCAAATAACTAATCGGGATAAAATTCAGGGAATAAGAATTATTGTTGCTTTTAAAATAATCTACCAATTTCTTAAAATTAAACACTATCTACAGATTTGCACCGAAGCGTGTTTTTTATGATAGTGATTTTAATCATTATCAGATATCATCTATGTTTGTCTCAACTATGCCATTTCTATACTGTCCTGCGACCCCACTGTTTTTATATAATATTGAGCATAATATTTCTGACGACTTCTGTAAAATGTAACTTTTATTTGTCTTCTTCTTTTTCCTCACCTTAATCCCAACTACTTGGAGTCGACCATCCTTATCCTTAACTTCCACTTAACAAGATTTCCCACATCCTCTACGTTCCCTTCAGCTGTCCATATATCGCATTCAATAACATCTCTCCATCTCTGTTTTGGCCTTCCTTTAACATTCCTCTTCTTCCTTCAACATTCATTTCTACAACTGTTCTTACGGCTTTCGATTCTTCTCTTCTCATAAGATGACAAAACCATCTCCTATCTTATCTATGATTGACGCTACACCTATACACCCTCTTGTATGCTCATTTCTTATCTTATCTTCTCTAGTCAGTCCACTCATTATGGATGAGTCTGCTCTACTTTCTTATCAACTTGAAAGGTTACAAATATATAAAAATCAAATTAATTGGCCGCAACGAGAAATTTGTAACTTTCATGGCGTTTTACAAAATTATAAGTAAAGGGTCGCCAACCTACTGGGCGAGACAGTATATTGTCGGACCACAGTAGGATTTTTTTTAAAAAAAAAAAAATTAACTTTTTTATATTAAAACAATTAGACAAAAAATATATAATTAATAAACATTAAAGTTGATGTCCGTTGAGTCGTTGATAGTAAATGTACACCAAAACCTCGTGACAGTTGTCACATAACCATATTAATGAGGGATGACCTTATACAAGGCCGTTGCCCGTACCTTATAAACTAGGGGAGTAGATTTTTGAAAGGAGAAAAAAAATACACGAGTCCATTGAAGATGGAACACGCAAAAAAAAAGAAAAAACAGATAATGGTTAAGTTAAATTAAGGGGACTTTATTAAGCAAAAAAAAAAACATAAAAAATTAAGTTACTACGAGGCAAAAAACCGAATGGTCAAAAAACCTCGTCTACAAATTAAAGGGGACAAAGAAAGAGAGAAAAAAAAAACAGATATTAATAAAAAAATTAGTTACACCTACACTTTTATTATTAGAGAATACGATGAACGTCTTCGGGTACCCGCCGGCTATTAATCGCAGCATTGCCGCTAAGCACGGCGGGTATACGTCCCAAGTAAGCGACTGGTTTCTGGCAGTTAGGCTTAGCTTGCAAGACGTTGGGACACCCCGGAATAAAATGCACTACGTCACCACATTGTACCAATAATATATACATATCACCCATAAAATATAATATAAAACCTATAAAAAAATATATAACATGACAGGTGGTATTGGAACACGCCTGCCATGTTGAGGGCACCTAAACAAAAAAAAAACTGTAAAAAAAATATAAAAAAATTTCGCCACACGTGCTTATGGCACGGCGCACAAAAAAAAATAATCTGGCTCAAAAACATTAAAACAAAACTTATACATTACCAGCCCCGAAGGGCTACAGAAAATGAGGCAGGCTCAACCGACGCCAATTAAAAAAAAATCACATGATATAAAGAATAGCGGGCACTCACGACAAAAAATATATATAAAATTAAAATGTTGCAGCGCACACAACAAAAAAGAAAAAAAAACTTACGCTACGGACGGGAAATAGTGCGACCAGTTCCGACTATGGCTATTCCCCGACAATCCGTCCGACGTTTGACCCGGCGGTCCGTTGGCGACAACACGGCTAGCCTTTAGAGTAGGGGTCAAAAAAATAACTAAATACCCAGTGCCGGAAATTATTGAAAACAATTGAAATCATATGGCGACAATGTATGCGGTGAGCAGTGCAAATGACGTTCAAGATAGGAAAGGAGCGGGGTGAATGTACACACAAATGCCGTCCATGAACCGGTCCGAAGTAGTACACAGCTGACTATCTCGCACGTGCATAAGCAAATCACAACACCTTATCATGATAATTTTACCAACAAACGCCGTCGCAGTCCGCATTCGGCTCAACACAAATATATATATACAAATAGACAAAAAAACACAACCAGATACTTTTGTCACGTTACAAACTACCCAACACTCTGAACCAAACATCATAGCTGGTCTCACTACAGTCTTGTAGAATTTACCTTTCAGCCTCATTGGAATTCTTTTATCGCATAAGACACCAGACGCTTCTCTCCACTTCAATCACCCGCACTTAATACTGAGTCTTACATCCTCGTCAATACCACCGCTCTTTTGCACAACTAATC